TGCTGCTGCACCAGCTGCAGCAGCTGTTGTTGCCCATTAGTGGACACTTGCTGCGTGTGCTACTCCCCGTCAAATTGAATTGCTATTCAGAGGCGGCTGTCACTGCTAAAGCTGATCACTAACCATTGAAACAGTAGCTGCCACTTTCAACCTGCTGGTCAACATATCAGTGACCACGATGGAGTTTATTGAGCTAATCAAAACTCCCAAGCACGACAATGTGGTGATGATCGATTCTTTCGGTCAGAAGATGGAGGGAACACTCTGCATCACCAGTCACCACTTGATTATCTCCTCGAGAAATGACCAGCTGAATGAGCTATTTGTGAGTTTCTATTATTTTGTAACATTTCATCATGGACAAACGATTGTGCTTTCTTCTGCAGATTCTACATTCCATGATTGATATTGTAGAGAAGAAGGCAAACACTACTTCTAGTGGAGGAACCATTGTGCTCAAGTGCAAAAACTTCCGAACACTAACCTTTGAAATTATTGGCTTTATTGAATTCAACAACATTGCCTCCTCAATTGAGTGGCTCTCCAACTTAAGTGATCCTCGTCTACTGTATCCACATTTCTACAATCCTGAATTCAATCTGGTTGAGGATGGATGGACCGCTTTTCAGATTGAATCGGAGTTTGCTAATCTCACTAACTTTAGTGACGAGTGGCGTATCTCGACAGTCAACAAAAACTTTGATGTGAGTACTGCATTCTCAACTGTCTTGTGATCGCCTGACCATATGGTATCCAATTTTAGATTTGCCCAACATATCCTGAGTCTGTGATTGTTCCCAAGTCTATGTCTGATGAGAACCTGATTGCCATTGCTCAGTTTCGTTGTCTTGGAAGATTTCCAGTTCTTAGTTATTATCACAAGTCTAAAAAGGTAAGTTCTCTTTTTTACCGGTTCCACATATTAACAATCAGTTTTTTCTGTCACCAACAGACAGTTTTGCTTAGAAGTGGCCAGCCAATGGTGGGCAGTAACTCGAAACGATGCAAAGAAGACGAGCGATTGATAAACACAGTCCTTGGTGCAGGCCGACGGGGATATATCATTGAAACAAGGACGCAAAACTTGGCACAGCTTGCTCGAAACAAAGGAGGCGGTTTTGAGCTGGAAATGTACTACCCACTTTGGAAACGTGTTCACAAACCCATCGACAGACACTCTACTTTGATGGACTGCTTGAGCAAACTGGTAGAAGGTAAGAGAACAAGCTGACCTTATTCAGTCATTTACAAATAACGGTTTCCCTATTCTTGCCTAGTTTCCAACGACACTACACTTTCAATGGACAAGTGGTTGTCCAAGCTTGACAGCTCAAGTTGGCTGTCGCACATTAAGGATGTCTTAAGCAGCGCTTGTCTTGTGGCTCAGTGCTTAGATCAAGAAGGTAAGGAAACTTATATAAATGAGTAGATTTTACAGTAATTACTTCTTCTTCTGCAGAGGTCTCTGTGCTGGTGCACGGCGCCGAAGGAATGGATTCCACGCTGCAAGTCAGCTCTCTCAGTCAGGTCATCCTCAACCCAGACTGTCGAACTGTGCACGGCTTTGAAGCACTAATCGAAAGGGAATGGCTCCAGGCGGGTCATCCCTTTGCAACACGGTGTAAAGACAGCGCCTACAAACAGTCTAATGTACGAACTCGAGAGCAGTCGCCCATCTTCTTGGTCTTCCTTGACTGCGTCTTTCAGATTTACAACCAGTTTTCCTGCTCCTTTGAGTTCAACGAGAACTTTCTCATTCTGCTCTTTGACAACGCATACTCCTCTCAATTCGGCACCTTTCTGGGCAACTGTGTCAAGGAGAGGAAAGAGATGAACTTTGCAAAGAAGACCGTGTCGCTGTGGTCCTATGTGAATCGTCCTGAAATCTTGAAAGAGTACTTGAATCCCCTGTACGAACCAAACAACTCTGTCCTCTGGCCATCAGTGGCGCCGCAATCTCTTGAACTCTGGAAGGGCATGTACTGCCGCTGGGTGACAGACTCTGGCCCAGCCAAGAAGGCTCTTCAAAAGATCAAAGAACTCATTAGCGAAGAAGCTGAACTTAAAGCGAAGGCTGCCAAGCTACGACGAAGCTTAGCTTTGATGATTTCCCAAGAAGGAACTGCTTAAACTGCTGAAGTCAGTCTGTTACCTAGTCGTACATGTTTTATAAATTCTATATATCAAATAACAATATAAAGTAAATGTTTATTTACAAACCAAGTAGTTTGGGCCTATAACTTCCACTCCTTGGTAATGTCCACCTCTTTGCCATCGGGACAGGTGTAGGAGTCAGCTGGAGGGGTGTCCTTCTTCACGTTCAGTACTGTGTACGGCAGCAGTGAAGGGTCAATCTGAATGGCGGCGGTGTACAGCTCCGGGTAGTCTCGTTTCAGAACATTTAAAGC